CTGCTGAAACTGACCAGGGGCTGACTACAGGAAGCCCGAGGCAGAGTTGCTTTGCCCCGGGCTTCCTGGAATCAGCCACTGATCAGTTTCAGCAGCAGCTGACTTGGGGACGCCTGGGTTTCTTAAGTTGAATCCATATGTAAGTCAGAACTGGCATCCAGATTCAGCCGCTGTTGAAACTGATCAGTTACATACAGATTCAACCTAAGAACAAACCTACAGTCCCTATCTTGTACGTAACCAGAGTTGCTTTGCCCCGGGCTTCCTGGAATCAGCCACTGATCAGTTTCAGCAGCAGCTGACTTGGGGACGCCTGGGTTTCTTAAGTTGAATCCATATGTAAGTCAGAACTGGCATCCAGATTCAGCCGCTGTTGAAACTGATCAGTTACATACAGATTCAACCTAAGAACAAACCTACAGTCCCTATCTTGTACGTAACCCGGGACTGCCTGTAGTTATACATCTTTTAATTGGTTATTAACAAAGATCATATAAAATGGTGTGTGTGACTTGATTTTGTTTAATAAATCTAAATAAAGGTAATTTGTGTAAAAACAGAGAAATAGAAAGCTAGATTGTATGTCCCCTCTTTCTGCTCAAGGAGCCTTTGGGTCCCATACAAGGGTCAGTTGCACTGTCTGCCTTTCCCTCTTGGAAAATAAAAGCCATCTGAGTCTAGTAACAACCACAGAGTAACATGGCAAGTGCTACAGCATGATCCACTGCACCATCCAGTACAACTAGACCAGAGAATGGGCAAACATGGTACATTCCCTTTAAAGGTTGCAGATGGGGTCTCTTGTGCCTTTGCACATGGTCATGATGCCTCTCATAGTGGCTGTCAGTACAACAGATCCTCCTCATGAAGGCAAGCAGTCATTTAAAGCACAGTTTTGTGCAGAATATTCTAGAAAGTACTTAAAATATTGGGCAGGTAGATGAAATGTTTTGTCCTGATCTTATTACTGATATTGTTTGGATGTTTACTAAGCAGCTGACCAATCCCATATTTAGTAATGAGCTTAAATTGAACAGCAAATGATGACATGAATTTGCATTTTCAGTTGGATATACATTAACGGTGGTTTCTGTCTCATTCTGTGGAATTCTAATATTGCTTCTGAATGCAAAAAGGCAACATAACATGAAGATGGTCATGCTTGTTAATGGCTTGTATTAGCTGGAGGCTATAAAATCATCCAAGGACTCCGTTAGTGTTGGAATAATAATTTACCAAGACAATTACCACATGGAGGAATTTTTTGCAGTTCTAATTCAGTGTTATTAATAATGAATAAAATTGCAATTTTCTCAGGTTGCTGGGGGCAGTAGGGAATTATTTCAATGAATATTTCAGCACATTAGTTTAATCATAGTTCCACAAAATTCAAGTGGGCAATATTTTATACTTCTAAGTTCAGTCTGCTAAGGGACCATAGTCATTAAATTGCAAACTATTTGCACTGAGATCCATTCTATGATTTACTAGCCTTGTTAAAAACACTGTAAAAGAAAGCAAGCTGTGCCATTAATACTTGTAATTTGATGCTGCATTTGTTAATGGGCTCACTGTGATTAATGTTTTAAGCAGTAGTCAGAGCATTTTGAGACAAGCAAGACTGAGCTCTTTAATGCCTAAATACTAGTAAAAATGTTAGAATATTGCACATTTCTGAAATATGTGTTCTTTCTGGAACATTTTCCTTAATGCCACTGAAATATAAAAGCCACATTTAAAGTACATGTATATGCTATATATAAATACAATGCAAGTTCTGATAGGTACCGACATATGTCTCTGTTTTGTAGCCAACTGCATGACTTCTGGCGCTTGGATTATTGGGAGGATGATCTACGTCGGCGAAGGCGTTTTGTTCGCAATGCTTTTGGCTCTACTCATTCTGATGCCCTCCTCAAAGCTGCAGTGGAATATGGTCAGTACTACTCACCTGCTTTTAAATAAAGGATCTCTTCAGTTGTCTTGTGTGTCCATATTAGAATGTTGGCATTCATATCACTGTTTTCTCACATCATGGTGTTAGGAAGTTGGAATGGGAATTATTTCAGCCTTACTTATTGATGGTCCAGAGGAATTGCTCTTGGATGTTATGAAGCACTCATGCTTCCTTGTTCCTAATGGCTTAGCAATATTTCTTTCAGCAGTAGCAGTACCTGGTTTAGAGCAATGGCAATGCTGAGGGTCTGGAGTGATGGGTCGTCGATGGTGCCACCTTTAATTATACCTATTGGCTTGAAGAAGTCACACAAATATATAAAGGTCATCCCCTATGCCCTGATATCCCATTAATTCATCCACTGTTCTTTCAGGCTTCCCAGATTCGGTTGGTCATAGGACTAAGAATCAAACCTGACTCTGCTGCTTGGTAGAGTATGACTCTTAGGCCAGAGAGATGATATAGCATAACATTTTCATATAAGACCTCCTTATCAATGGGGTTTATAATTTGTCTATAAAAATATTGGAAGCATTAACTTGGTGTACATAATCTAAACCAGGAGTAAAGTTTATCTGCAAATTGTGAAATATATCAACAAACCCTTTTTTAAACAAAGCTGCTTAGCAGTTGTGCTCAGTGCTTTTTGGGCAGTCATCGGCCAAGCACTTTATTTCAAGGGTTCACAACCTTTTTCTTTTTGAGGCCCACCCAACATAGTATAGAAACCTCCATGACTCACCTGAGCCACAACTGGTTTTCTGCAAATAAAAGATGGGGCTGGAGTTAAGAGGTGGTAAGCAGGGCTACTGCCTGGGACTCCATGCCACAGTCCCCCTCTCCTACGAAGCTACCTTGCTGAGGCTTTGGTTTCAATGCCAGGTGGCCCCGACTTAAGCCCCATGCAGTGAGGCTTTGGTTTTCTGCTCTAGGCCCCAGTGAGTGTAATGCTAGCCCTGCTTGACAGATCTACTCAAGCTTGCCTCTGACTTCTGGCTGAAAACCACTGCTCCATGGGACAAAGGCACTTCAACTAAGCTCCAAACACTTGCAAGGATATTAGGCTTTCTGGGCAGCTTTAGTTGGGACATGCTTACAAGATGCCCATGTCACACCACAGATTGATTTTAGTGGTTTATAAGAACATGAGAGCAGACGGTGGTTCATCAAGCCCATTATCCTGTCTTTCAACGTGCCACATGCTTCGGAAGAATGCACAGAACAAGGCAGCTATCGAGTCATCCAGCCCCAGTTTCTAGCAGTAGAGGGATACCAGGAGCATGGGATTGCATCCCTGACCATCTTGACTAATAGACTTTATTTTTTTTCTCCATGTGTTTGGTTGGCTTCTCGACAGCAGGCTGAACCTTACTGGTGCAAGAATCTCCAAGGAGATACATTTTTCAGATCTAGGTCTTGTGCAGTTCTGTAGATATCCTCAAAGGCATTTTCTTAGAAAGTTCCTATCCATCCTTTTAAAACTATATTTCTAACTGAAAATAGTGGCCCCACTATTCATTTTCTCTATATCTAAGGGCAAACATAAACTTGAGAGGATTATTCTTAAATAAGTTTAAAAGCCACATACTGAAAACTGATGAAAAGAAAATAATTTTATGGATAGATGAGCTAAATCCTGATGTCACTGGAAGTTTTGATTTAGATCTAATTCACGCGGTATAGTTAATCTGTGGAACTCACTACTTCAGGATATTATTAAGGCAAATGGCTTGTAAGTTTCAGAAAAGATCAGACATTTAAATGAATATTAGCATGTACAATTATACCAGCTAGTATATTATTTATTAAAATACAAAAGTTGCCAATTGTATCGCTCCAGAACATAATTTGATCAATAGTTTGGGTCAAGACTAATTTTCCATTATGGCATATAGTTTTGCACATTTTGATACAAAGGTATATTTATTTACCCCCAGTTTCCTTTGAGGCATGCCATATAGAGTCATTGTCAGAGGCAAATATCAAATATTTGGTTTTGACTTCTGTAACAAGCACTTAGTTCCTTTTCAGAAACAAATATTAATTTTAGTCCTACTATCCATTATTCTTTAATACATAGTTGCAATTTTGAGGAGGTTGTTAATATTGAATATTTAAATATGTAAAAACAATATTTAAAACCAGTTATAAATCAAGAGGGAAGCTGGGTTTACAGTCCCAAACATTGGCCTCTTAAGGCCTGTTCGGCACCATTTTTTAAGTTAATGGAAGTTTTGCCTTTTACTTCTTTGGACTTTGTTTCGTGACCTTATGCAAATTAGGTCCCCTTTTTTTCCCCTCTTCCACACCAAAGCTTAATGTGCCACTTCTGTAACATTTCAGCAAGGGGAGAACCTCATATAGTTATATACAGTTTATCTGTTATTGCATTTAATATATAAGTGAATAAAGCTGAAGTATTGCCGGTGCCGTGCAAGTTAAACTCTCATTGGTTTATGTTTCATATTACAGTAGATGGAAGTTATCTTGTTGGCAGCCTTATAATAAATGTATCAGATATGCAGCTTTCCCATAAATAAATTAAAAGTATGATGTGGTGTTCTGCAAGAATTTTAAACAGCATGCACTGAAGTTAAAATCCATAGATTCCACCTTGATGTACTTACTTTTCAGAGGCTTGCGTGTATGGATTTTAATATTGAAACTTTTATTTGACCTTTCTCTGTGAGAAAACATCCTTAACACTGATGTTATTTTTATGCCTCTTGGTGATACTAATGAGTTGAATAATTTATGAGGTTGTCATGTGAAAAGGATTTGGTGCAGTTTGATGTACTTTCAGCCTCTGGTGTTCGAATGTGATTAATAAAGAGCTGGAGGCATAAAAATTTTTCCAGGGTATGTTACTTTCATTGTGTTTTTTATTCATTTTGTTTTGACAATTTTGTGTTGGAATAGTCTAATAGTAAAAATTTTGTCAACAACAAAAACTCAAAATAATGTCACTATATACAAGAATTTGAAAGCAGTTTTTTAAAAATCATACTATGCAGTTTTCAACTAACAGTTTATTCCCTGACCTCAAAAATTTTGTGAAAAATGAATTATTGATTTTTAAAATGAGGGGTTTGTTTATGTTACTTCAATAGCAACATTAAATCTAGACTGATAAATAGTATGGCATTTAGGTATGAGTATAATTTTGGACAATATCTTACAAGTTTTTATTACTTATATTGACTGTCAGTTATACAGGGTTTTGTGCATAAATATTGCAGTGGAGGAATGCTTAGTCAAAGCCTAAGTTAGCAAGCTCCTCTGTGTCTACGATCAAAGGCATCAACTTAAATAGGTCTGATCAGGCATTGCAGAAGAGAGCAGGCAGCGTCAGCGGAGCAAAAAACACACAGCAAAGATGACAAAATTAATCAGTCATTTCTTTGGCAATAAATAATAAGAGATGCTGAGGATTGCAGATGAGAATTTGTGTTCCTTGGAGATGTGCCTGCTTAACACCTGATTTATCTAAGCTTGTGTTGCCATTAAGATATGACCTTGATGAATAAAAGACTGCTTTACAACTAGTCTAGAATTAAATTGTGTTGATGGTAGATGCACAGATACTGTAACAATATGATGCTTGCAGTCATAAAGGAATGGAAAAGTCTTGGCCATGGCACATGTCTGTGGTCTGTACACCTGCTTCAGAAAAATATCAACATATTTGTTTCTTGCATAAAGAGCTAAAATGGGGAGGGGAGGTGTAAAACTCTCAGACGGTGGAGGTGGCTACTTATTATAGGAAACATCTTTTTTAATGTTCATCCACCTATCTAGGTGTACTACGATTACACTACTTGCACATCTGAGTGTAAAATTAGAAAGATTTTTAGTAAGTATTTTCTGTAAATATACTTATCTCCTATACACTGCTCCAAGTTGCTTGATTGGCTCCATGCCTCCCAATAGCAATTGTGGGCCCCAGGGCAGAGCAGTCAGTGGTCCACCATGCATGCACAAGCTGCATCACCATAGACATGATTTGCCTGACATTTTGGTGGTGTGTGCACACTGGCTGGTGCCTAACAAGCTGCCAGCTTCACTGCTGGGCATGCTGTTCTGGCATGGCCAAGGCTTCCACATGCCTGCCCAGTAAGGTTGCCAACTGTCTAATTGCACAAACCCAAAGACCCTTGCCCTAACCTCTGCACCACCCCTTCCCTGACACCATACGGCATCCAACCCCTTATCCGAGGCCCTGCCCCATGCTCACTTCCCTACTCCTCCTCCTCCCCCTCCCCCAACCCTCATTCACTTTGACCAGGCTGGGACAGGAGGCTGGAGTGCTGGAGTAGGTGTAGACTTGGGAGGGAATTTTGGAGCGGGGTCTGGGAGGGAGTATGTGTGCTTGGAGGTGTGTGGGGTGCAGGCTCTGGGAGGCAATTTGGGTGCTAGCTTTGGGCTGGGTCAGGTGTTTGGAATGTGGAAGGAGTTGAGGTGCTAACCTTGGGCAACTTCTGAAAGCAAATTGCACACCTCTCTGGCAGTGGCTTCTCACCAGAAGAGGGGGAAAGCCTGGAGGTTTCCACAGGCATCGCCCCGGCACTCCCATTGGCTGCAGTTCCTAGCCATTTGAAGCTGTGAAGTCGACACTTGGGGAGGCACTGCATTTAGATTACTCCCAACCCCGGAGTCACAAGAATGGGCCAAGCCATATCCAGGAGTGGCAGGGGGTGAGGGGGGGCAGGAAGAAGCCTGCTTAGCCCTGCTGTGCTACTGTCAGCAACAATTGAGGTTCCGCTGATCCTTTTAAATTGTCCATCCCCCTAGACAACTGTTCCCTTTGTCTCCTCAGTCAGTGGGCCTCTTTAGTTCTTTTCTCACTAGCATCTGTGTGTATATTTTAGAGATTTGTGCGTCTGTCTGGGAATCCATTTGTTCAAGAACTCCCTCTAAATGGTAAGAGCTAGAGCCACCAAATTTGGCATGCAGCTTCCTCTTATCCTAACTTAAAGCAA